TTCTATGACAGTTTCAATATTTTGATATGAGACTGAAGTGTATTCAGGTGGTGTCCAAAATTGACAGAGTCTCCTTTTGGAAAAGATAGGTCATGAATTAAGCGGAAAGACCCACTTTCTCTTTTAGGGACCAGACCCAAAGGAGAACAAATAAATTTTCAAAGGGTGGTTCATTAAAAGGTCCTCTTATACTGCTTATCATAATTTCCTTATTTAATTTGAGAGTGACCACCTCAGAATTTTCCCTTGCGCTGTTATGGTTGGAAGGAAATTTGTTATCTTTTTTATTAAGCAATGAATTTATTTTAAAGCCAAATGTAAAACCCAGAATTAATTTGAATTTCATTTCTCTGTCATAACCCTTGAGGAAAATGTTCAATTTATTTACTTTTATTGGTGTTGGTAGACTTGTGGGTTGTAAGCCATTCTTTACATGAGACTGTGGCATGTTTTTTACCACATTGCACACATGGGTGCTTATGTTTGCAGTTGTCGCTGGAACGGCCACCTGTTATACAGTAGGTCCAGCAGTAACCAGGTGGGAATTGACTGCTTTGTTGCTGAACACGCCGTTGAAAGGGAGGACCTCCACTTTGTTTATTAGATTTGTAATTTGATGCATGATTGGTATTTGCATGATTGAAATGATCATAAAAGGCTGTCCCCCAAAGATCATCATTTACAACTGCCCAATCAAATTTCATTACTCTGCGTACCTTTCTTAATGTTTCATCATATGATTTTGCCATGTTAAACCCAAATTATTTTGACATTGCCCTAACATTATATGCATATTTGATAAGGCTTAAAATATGTTCTGGATGGTTTACATAATATATATAGACATATAAATATAAAAGGCTGCAGTCCACTGATGGATTGTCAATAACTGCTTTAGTTTAGCGTAAGTAGAAATTTTAACTGCGCTCGATCTAAAAAGAACATCGTCGTCTTCATCTTCATTAAAATTTGTAGAAAGGGTGATAAAATGCACATAACTATCAGACAAAATGTCTTTTCTGATTTTTTTCGCTGACAGTAAAGCCCAAGCAAGAGCAAAGTATTTCTTAATTAGTAACTGGCTGTCCGCCCTATAACAGAATTGTCAATACCTAATGATTGGTCTTCTTGTGTTGTTGGACTATTGGTTTTGAAGTATCCTGCAACTGATAGGTCTGAACTCACTGGTGGTACCAATGAGCAGTGGACAGCGTTTGTGGATGAAGACGGCAATGTATTCTGTCTCTCTGTTTGATAATCAGTGCCTGAGACCACTTCCTGCATTGCACTAGAACGTATACCACACACACTTGACAATCTATCATCTGATATTCTGACTCCACTGCTGTCGGTTGAGTGTAAACCAGCTCCCCTCAACCGAGTGATCATTGCTGCAGCTATTTCATCCGCTGTTGGCTGTTGGCTGTGCTGTTGTACTTGCACTATTCATCACAGGAGCAGTTGTTGTACTTAGCCCATTGTTTCGGACTCGTTTTCGCCCTCTTTGATTAGTAGTTTCAGTCAGTACCTCGGGTTCTATGACAAGGTCCCTTTCTGTGAGATCGGAAGGAGCAGCTCTTCTTTTCGATCTAGCTCTTTGTTTAGGCATCTTTAAAGGAAACAAAAATAATTCTTGAATACCCGATAATGTGTGTTAACTTACAATATAAAATCAGAAAAATGTGCATGTATCACTTATTTAATACTATTTCATTGTATATTGTACATAGACAAAGTTTACACAACAAACAATGTGGCACACAATAATGCAATATTATATGATAACTACATTGTAACCATACATGATAATAACCATGTAAGTGTATGGTACATGTAAAACAGTATGTATATAAAACCAGTGTAATCTGATACATGAATACAAAAGTGCAATATGTATACAGAACCATAACCATAATGATGGTTAACCATATGTATGTATAATGATACAAAATATAACCATATAAAATCAGTGCAAATTGATACCATTTCACAAAATTGCACAAACATTTATGATAACCATAGCCATAAAGATGGCAAATAAAACCATGTGTAATAATGATACATTTGTGTGTCACAATAATTGGATAAATTAAACAACAGCAGTGGATTGTCTGCAAAAATTTGTATATACTGAATAAAGTATTCAATAACTGATGCATAGTTTTTCATGAATAATAAAACAAAGATACATGTACAGATAATAGCATACTTTAACTATAAAGCTTTTTAATTATAATAAGCAAACTATGTAAACGTATCGTTTGATATGTCGGTCTGATTTTATTTATTTTTAATTATTTCACATATGATGTGCACTACCGACAGCTGCACGAATACTTTTAGCGTAGATGTGCATACCTTCGTCAGTTAAATGAACTTTATCTGACAACAAAGCTTTCGAGTTTTTCCACAGACCCCGATGTTTCCAAAAAGTTATATTTGTACGTGATTTCAGAGTTGAAGACAATACCTGATTCACTTTGTTTACTTTGTTGTTATAATCGGGACCCGACCTTTCGGAATACTTCGGCAGTAATTGCCCAACGATCACGTGACTAACACCATACACTGTAATTATGTAATCACAGAATGACGCGCGATATCTCGAGCCAATTTCTCAGGTTTCCCCTCGCTTGTCAAGTCATTGCCGCCAATTTGAATAAATACAGAATCTGGTTTAAAAGTGTGAAAAACGTGCATATATTCTGCTTTCTGAATGCTTTTATGACCCGGACGCAATGTACTTCCACCCAAACCTGCAAATTCAACCTGAATTTCGTTACCATCGAACCCTAAATTATATCGCCCCTCTGCACGATTCTCATACAAAAAGGATTCTAATCTATTTACAAATGAATGACCAAAAATCAAAACTCGATGAACCATAATATACAAATTTAAGAATTTACACAATATCAAACGAATATTTTTAAACTAAATAATATTTTAGATGGCTTTTACCTTCTGATCAAGTTCTGTAATCGTAACTACGTCTTTTCTGTACAAAATCGTTAGTTATCTTCTGTCTAAGACTGAATAATGACTCTCTTCAGGAACAAAATTTTCTTCTGACAAAATTGAAAATTTTTACTTTTCCGGCAAAACAAAAATAGCGTCTAGTAGCATTCAGTGCAATTGCGAGAATGCGGGCGCAACTAGACGCTTGTGAAGAGTTAGCATGCACTTTATCCTCATTGGTCAATTAAAATATTTGCAGCCAATGATGATTAATATTTGACCCTGATCATGCCATGACCATGCTGACCTTGACTGCCCGTAATCAAAAAGCATAATTCCTAGACAAAGCCCATGGAGATTTTCGGTTTCTTATTACAACATTGATAAGAAACAAAACCTATACAAGTTGAAACAGTATCCTATGTAGCTAATTAGTGTATAAAAATTTCCTGCCAAAAATGTTTTTATTACTATAAAACTGATTTGTTTATGAAATTTCTCAATTTTTGGTTGTTACTTGAAAATAATTAACGATAAAGAGAAATTTTAAACAGCAAAAATGTTCAGCAAAGTAAGATCTACCAAAAAGTCTAAGAACAGAATTTGTCAATTGATCTTAAAAGGAGTTATTGCCCTTAAAAGACTTTTTTTTTTTAATTTTAAAGTTTTTTCAGAAACTATGATAGATAGATACTCCAAACAGCAAAGATGTTCACCTACAAAGATGTCAACATGACTGAAATTGTCTATTGATCCCTTATATGAGTTATTGTCCTTGAAAGAGATTCTTCTACAGCAAATGTGTACAGCAAAGTGAGAACTACAAATAAGTCAACATGACCGAAATTGTCAATGTTTCCTTAAAGGAGTTATTGCCCTTGAAAGAAGTTTTAAAAAACTTTTTGACTTAGTTTTTATCAATCTACATAACACTTTTACACTGACAGCAGAAGAAATTGCAGGCAAGACACAGGGTTCTGTGGAACCTTTTACAAATGTTTATGTACTTTTCATTTTAATATTGGCCAAGAACACAGTTACTTCATAGTGCATTTCTTTTAGACAAAAAAACGCAAATTAAAAAAATCTCACTTGCTCTATCTAAAAACTTTTTTTACAGGGCAGTGTACTACTATTGGGACTAATTGTATCAAAATTATAGAAAAGTCTATCGGCTCTAACTCAAAATGTGGACAATTTTATGTTAAGGGGGTCTATAATTCAGTCTGACAGCTCCACATACTAATTTTTGACCTTTTCAAACTGGACCAAATCACTACTAGTACTTAACCTAAAAATTCATGCCCCAAATTTTTTTCACATGTAATTTCACCCTCCTACTTACTATTTTATGCATAAAGTATAAAGAAATAAATTTGGAAGTTGTATGAAAAAAATTTACAAGTTAAACACTGTCCACACTAAGAACACTATTTGTAGACAACTGAAATCAAAGGACAATAACTGTGTCCCCAGAACTATTGACACAAATCTGTTTTTCAACAAAAAAATTTATAAAAGTCTAAATTTTTATCATGGGTAAATTAGAACGATATCAGGAGGAAAGATGTCAAGGAAAATATGATGAAGTAGAGCAAACAATGGTGGTTGCATGTTTTATGCCCCCGCCGCGGCTGAGGAGGCATTTAGTGTTACCCTTGTATGTACGTCTCAAAATTTTTAAGTTTCCGTTCTTTAAGTTTAGTACTTATTACCACAAAACACAGATCAAGTTTGAATTTGAGTAATGCCCTTAATAAATGGAAAAATTGCTGAATTTTTCGTTTCCGTTCTCTAACGTTAGTTTGCCTTAAATCAACTGTTTCGAAACTTATACACAATGCTTATTACCATAAAATACAAGTTCGAATTTGGGTGGCGTCACTTTTACAGTTCTCTAGTTGTGTGCCATCATAACGTTTTATGCAAGCGGGGGCATCATCTGTGTCCCATGGACACATTCTCCATTTATTTGTTTTTAAAATAAGACAAAAGATTTCTTTTTAAGAAAAGAAAAGACTATTCATAATTTATAATTCCAGTACACCAGATTTTAGAGGACCATTCACAGATGGCAGCCACACCTCAAGCAATGTCAGACCTTCAGGCACTTGCATCAGCTTTGCTTGAAACTGTCAATGATAAAAACTTAGCTTTGTCTCATCAGAGAAAAACAAACAAGTAAGTAAATAATTAAGTATGACAACTGTGTGTGAGACTGTGATTATTACATACAAAGGATAACAAACCTATTAGACAGTACAACAGACCACATTTCACATGAACAAGCAACTCCTCCAAAAAATTGACATACAAACAAAGTCAGAAGCTGGTAATACAATGGTTGTCTTTTGTTGCTGTATATCATATTTGTCCTCCGTGCAACGCGTTGTGGGGGACATAGAAATACCGGGCGTCCCTTAGTCCCTCTGTCCAGTCTTGTTAGCACTCTTACGTGTACAGTTCTCGCCAGATTTTTATAAATCATAAATCATTTATATCATAGGTTTAAATCAGCAATGTCTTGGACAAGATCGAAAATCAGTGCTGATCAATTATTTTTAAAAGAGTTATGCCCATTTGAAACATTAATTATATGGAAAATTGCATCGTTAATGCTCTCATTTGTACAGTCCTTACCAGATTTTTATGAAACTTATATCATAGGTTTATATTAGCAATATCTTGATATCTTATCATGCAATTGATAAACAAGATGACAGTAGATAATTAATTTCGGATTAGTGTATTATATTATTATTGAACATTGTACTTAATTGTAAAAAAAACAGTAGATAATCAATTTCGGATTAGTGTGTCATATTACTATTGAACATTGTATTTAATTGTACTATTACTAATATGAAATATAAGAAAATACTACTTATCTATATGAAACCCTGTTCTTATAGATATTAACAATATCAAGGTACCTTACAGTTAAAGCTGTAGCGGCAAGGTCATTGTTAACAGCTTTAGTGCAATAAATCTATATTCAAGTGTTAAAAAAAAAAAGAAGCATTATCTTAGACGAGTTCGAAAATCAGTGCCGATCAATTATTTTTAAAAGAGTTATGCCCCTTGGAAACATTAATTATATGGAAAATCATTGTTAGCACTCTCATATGTACAATCCTGTCAGAATTTTATGAAACTTAAATCATAGGTTTATATCAGCAATGTTCGGACAACTTTGAAAATCAGTGCCGATCAATAATTTTTGAAAGAGTTATGCCCTTGGAAATATTAAATATATGGAAAATTGCCTTATGAGCGCTCTAATGTGTTCAATTCTTGCCAGAATTTTATGAAACTTGTATCATAGGTTTATATCAGCAATTTCTTTGACACTTTCGAAAATAAGTTCTGATCAAATATTTTTAATGAGTTATGCCCCTTGGAAATGTTAATTATAATGGAAATCATTTTGCATTTGCTCTGAAGCCTTCATTTCTATAAGATATTAATAAAAAGTTTTAAAGAACAAAAAAAAGTGCGTACCCTTCCAATGGATTTAATGTAAAGACGTCATAAACATTCTGTGAAAAACATGACCTGTGGAATGCCAAAATATTATTAAGTATTGACAAGATGTAGGACTGTAAGTGATCCTAACTGGATAGGAATACATATTTAGTTATCTTTCAATTTATCAATACCAAAATCAGTCTTAGTACCGAGTTGGTATCAAGTTGTATATTACTTGTACACATCAAAATACCTACTACTTGGTGGTATATTTTATCTCCAATACAAAGTTAATTATTGTCAAGCAAATAATTAATGGATCTAACAATTTTGTTGCATGTCCAATTAGTATAATTTTTATACACCCATAAAAGACGGGACATATTTTGGTCTGTCTGTCCGTCCGTCAACACTTCGTACGATAACTCAAATTAGCTTTAACTAATTCTCATATAACTGTAACACAATATTATTTTTTTTTTTATTTTGGAGATATGTCATTCCGAGTTACGGAACTTTGACCCTTAGATTTAAGGCAATTTTTCATAAATTGCACACTAACTCCGGTATTCCTAAATTGATTTCCTCTCCAACTTGACATTATTGTAGGAATTGAGAATAGGAAGCTCCCTTGTGATTTTTTTTAATTATGCCCCCGCCGAAACAGAGGGGGCATTAAGTTTTACCCTTGTCCGTCCGTACGTCCCAAAATTGGTTTCCGTTCTCTAACTTAAGTTAACCTCAACCAAATGTTATCAAACTTATACACAATGTTTATTACCACAAAACACAGATCAAGTTTGAATTTTGGTGGCGTCACTTTAACCTTCTAGAGTTATGCTCCTTTATAAATGGAAAAATTGCAAAATTTTTCATTTCCGTTCTCTAACTTAAGTTTGCCTCATCCAAATGTTATGAAACTTATACACAATGCTTATTACCACAATACACAGATCAAGTTTGAATTTTTGGGGCGTCACTTTTACTGTTCTAGAGTTATGCCCCTGTACAAATGGAAAAATTGCAAAATTTTTCATTTTTTTCCCAAAAATATCAATGTCATTATTCAAGTAATTTTTAAAATTGGAGTTATCTTCCTTTGTCCATGATTATAGTTAAATCAACTACAATCAATGCTTTATACAATGCAATGTTTAATTTTGACTTTGACTGATAAAACACAGATCAAGGTGAATTTGGGTAGTGTCACTTTAACCATTATTGAGTTATGCCCCTTTATAAATGGAAAAATTGCAAAATTGTTAGTTTCCATTCTGTTACTTAAGTTTGCCCCAACCAAACATTATGAAACCTATACACAATACTCATTACCACAAAACAAAGATCAAGTACAAATATTGTTTCCGTTCTCTAACTTTAGTTTGCCTCAACCAAATGTTATGAAACTTATACACAATGCTTATTACTACATAATACAAATTAAGTACGAAATTCGGTGGCGTCACTTTTACCTTTCTTGAGTTTTGTCCCTTTATAGACATAAAAATTGTTGATTTTTTCGTTTCCGTTCTCTAACTTTAGTTTGTCTCAACCAAATGTTATAAAACTTATACACAACCGTTCTAGAGTTATGCGAGTTTACAAATAGAAAAATTGCTGAATTTTTCGTTGCTGTTCTCTACTGAAGTTAGCCTCAACCAAATGTTATGAGACTTACACACAATGCTTATTACCACAAAACTCAGATCAAGTTCAAATTTGGGTAGCGTCACTTTTCCCGTTCTTCAGTTATGTCCCTTTATAACTATATGATATGCAAATGGGGGCATCATCTGTGTTCACATGTGAACACAATCCACATTTATTTTCTGGTATTTAATATCAATCCAGAGTTACGGAACTGTTACATTTCAGGCAATTTATCACCAAGAGCGGACTAACTCCAGTATTCCTGTATTGATTTCCTCCAAACTTTACTTTATTATGGGGATTGATGAAAGGAAGCTTCCTTTTGATTTTTTTAATTTTCCAGTTGCTCCAGAGTTATGGGACTTAATTGTCAGATTTTAGTAAATTTTTCACATATTGTACCATAACTTGAGTTTGCTTTAATTGATTCAGTGGAAACTTTACGTAATTGTTTGAATTGGTGAATATATGAATAAATGCCTTTGAAATTCATGCAACAATTTCAATATGCACAAAAAGGGCATATCATGCAATTGCAACACATTTTTCAAAAGACCATTGTAAACAAATGTCTGTTTGATAAAATTGTGTGGTAGTGAAATGAGTAAAACAATCATAACTGCTTATCACAGACAAGCTGACCTACAAAAGAGTGTATCTTTTCAAAGACTTCTAAAGAGTATATTTTACACTCTAGATGAAATTACTTTCCATATGAACATAAACTTTGACATAATATTTTATTCTTGTTTCAAAATTCAAATAGGGAACACATAATACATTATTGTAGTAATTAAACCATTTTGTAAGACGTTTTGGCCACTGGCCTTCTTCAGTTTCTTTATTATCCTTCTTAAACCTTAGAGTGCCACAACTTTTTTTGTTAAAATACTGTTGAGTGCCATGGGATAGGCCCTAGATTTGAAATTTGAATGGAAAACGGAAGAAGCGTAACAATGCACAACGTCATCTAATTGTTTCCATCCGGAAACAATTCTGTTTAGACGGTCGGCGTATGTCAGTTAGATTTCTTTAGGTAATAGGACGGTAGATGAAAAGGCAATCTAAAGGATTTTAATGAAATCTTGCAGGCAAAGTAATCCTTTAGAACCGCAAATAAATATTCACAAAGTATGCAAATAAATTTAAGACTTTCGGAAATAAAGGAATCTGACTATTCTATAAAACGAAGAACAAATATATATATATATAAGGATCCACATAATTACCGCAAACACCATTGAATCATTTGATTTTAAGTTGAATTCTCTTAAAAACGTGTACTGCGAATTTTCTTTTTAAAATTATATTTCATTGTCACTAAAATTTCCATTTTATTGATATAAAATTTACAGGGGGCTTAAAAATTCATTTTTTGTTGTACACATTCTCAAAAGTATATGTTTTCTCTAAAAACATGATTTTGCTATAGCGTTTTCAGTTTCTCCTTGAACTTATAAGTTTTGGGTGTCCTTTTGATATCTTCCGCATCTTTTTTTAAATCAAAGTTGCTGAACTTTTTTAGCGATGTTTACATAAATTCTATACTTTCCTACCGCAGATTTCCGGATAGTCAATTTGCTATACATATCGGAAAGTAAACAGCTACATATATCATTTTTCGATACTGATCTTGTGCATCTTATCTACACGTTATCTTGATGAAAAAATATTGCCGCTGGACACTAAGTAGCCGATAATCAAGTAGTTAATCCATAATTTCACAAACGTGTGTACTTTGTAAAGACTTTTATTCACTTTCATTTATTGTTTAAATTTTCCGTTCTTTTGTCCTTTTTTTTGTTTTTTGTTTAATTAGATTTTTTGTTTATTTTTAAACGCTGGATGCCAAGATTGAGTTAGTTTGGCCACTTCTATAATGTCTATGTATATGATAATTTTTTCACGTATGAGCGAAATCCATTGTACTCGCAGTCGTCATCATTAGCTCACCTGGCCTAAAAGGCCGAGTGAGCTTTTCACATCACTTGGCGTCCGTCGTCCGTCGTCGTCGTTAACTTTTACAAAAATCTTCTCTGAAACTACTGGCCCAAATTTAACCAAACTTGGCCACAATCTTTTGGGGTATTTAATTTAAAAAATGTGCCCGCCAACAAAGATGTCCGCCATGGCTAAAAATGGAACATAGGGGTAAAATGTAGATTTTGGCTTATATCTCTGAAACCAAATCATTTAGAGCAAATCTGATATTGGGTAAAATTGTTCATCAGGTCAAGATCTATCTGCCCTGAAATTTTCAGACAAATCAGATATCCCGTTGTTTGGTTGCTGCCCCTGAACTGGTAATTTTAAGAAAATTTAACCAAACTTGGCCACAATCATGATAAGGGTATCTAGTTTAAAAAATGTGTCCGATGACCCCGCCTACCAACCAACATGGCTGCCATGGCTAAAAATAGAACATAGGGGTAAAATGCAAGTTTTGTCTATTATTTTTTTAACCTTTATAAATAGAGAAAATCATAAAGGAGCAAACCTGTTCAGAATAATGAGCTCTACCAATTGTCCATATATGTCAAAACTGTTAGACAAGTTCTTATAGGAGTTATTGCCTATAAATGACAAATTTTACCATTTTTTTTTTTCATTTTTGCCTATTATCATGAAAACTATGATATTTAGAGAGAAACATGTTTTCCATTATGCCTTATATGATTTAAATTATAATAGATAAATAAACACTTTAAATCACAAAAATGATCAGCAAGGCAAGATCTATTAAAAATTCAAATTTTGCCGATATAGTTAGTAGACTGTCACTCTTCATAGGAGTGATTGCCCTTAAATGAGGATTTTTTCTACCCTCTTTTGTGTTTTGAGCAAAAACTAAAGATAGAGAGAAACTAAGCAGACTAAAAGATCAGTAATACAAGATCAACAAAATAGAGATTTTTGTCATGAAGTCTTTTCTCGTCTACAATGTTGGAGAGTGTCCTTTGTTTGATATGCACAAAGATCAAGGTGAGAGACACAGGCTCTTTAGAGCCTCTAGTTTTTGTTTAGCCCTCGTGGTTGTCACACGTTTATTCTTTAGTGTTTTGCAAAAATATTCATCATCTACAATCTTTTGCTAAATCTTTCAAATAATAACACATTTATTTTAAAAAATTATATATATATATTTTGAACGCTGGTACAATGTATGCCTTTATTTCAACAAACTAGGAGTTGGAAAAAAGTATTGTTTGCAGTGTATTTGTCTATTTCATCATAACTTGTCTTCTTTTGTTTTTTGTTTTCTTTTATCCTGATTTTATCATGTATAATTTATATATTTTTTTTACAATTCAGTTTGGTTTATATAGCAAATTTCCTGACAAAAATAATATATGTGTTTATATCATCGGAAGAGGAAAACGCTTCTCATAATACATGTAAATATAACCAAATAAGCAAATAAACCTATGCCAATTATGTTTCTATTGGGAGCAAGTTGGTTAAATTCCAGCCAGAATCATGTTTTTTTAGAATATGTAGTTTTATGGGAAATATATGACAAAAAACTGTAGGTGACGAATATTCATTGCATAACAGCTTTTGCTTCAATTAATCTTTGTGCTACTTTGTCTGTAAATATGTTTGAGAGTTTTATATAACATATTCATTCAGTAAAGTTGCAGTGAAAACAGAAACTCGAAGAAATTTATCGAATTCAAATTGCGTCATTGCACACACATTTTCAATACTGACTAGTAGTTGATACGGGTAATGTTTATTTTAGTATTCCTCAACAAAATATAATCACATCAACATTTTTTTAATCATCTGAACATAAAGAATTTCATATACATGTACCAAGCTAACAGGTGCTCTTGCTTGCCAAAAGTCAACGTAAAAAACATAGAAATTCTTTTAACATGTTTGTTTGTCGCACAAATACTTTTGACGCTCTAAAGAGAACAGTAAATAATAATAAAAAAAACTATTGGCGACGAGTTTATTTCTAGCATTCTTATTGGTCCCCTCTGGTTGATATTAAATTGTGGTTCTTTTTCATCTTCTGGTGGCAAAACCCCAAATCATGGAGTAGGAATAGAGTTGACACCGGACATCTTCCAGATCCCGCACTCTAGCTTAATGACGTATTGTTTTTAATAACGTGACGTCAAAATTCCATTGCCCTTTGGGCCTCACCTGTGGCACTCAAAGGAAGTGTTTTTAAATAGGCCGGATAGGCCTTATGACAGAGATGGTAGACATTTTATTTTCACAAGCATTAAGATGTTATACATTTAGTTCCTTGGTAATGTTATGACTTCATAATAATTTGACGTCACAATAACATGACGTCATAATATCTTTTTATGAATGAAAGTAAAAAAAGTATATGGAATTAGATAATTCAAAGTTATTGTTTTTTAATGTTGACCCCAAATGACCTAATTGTATTTAGTCTTTGCATCCACTGTGCTTCGATATATCTTCTATAATTGGCAGATTTTTTTTGTAAGTTTGTTCAAGAATTTGAACTGTCATGTCCTCTATTTTATTTAACTTCCCATGTACTATTATGTCTACAAAGTTCCTATCTCTTCAGTAAACTACAGGGGGTGGTTCTGGAAATATTTCTTTCATAAAGTTACATTTATGTAAACTATTAATTCTTTTTTTCACAATGTCACATGTGTATATCTGGTAGTTGCTAGGTCAGATTGGGTAATAACAAAAGGTACACATTCTGTTGTCTTTTTGATTTTTGTTTTTCTTTGTAACAGTTCTTTTCTATATAGGTTGTGTGCTCTTTTTAATTGGTTTTCAATAAATTTTCCATTGTAGCCTCTTTTTCGCAGTTGTAATTTAAGTTCTTGTCTGTGTCTTTGGTAGTCTTCTTCCCTTTTGCAAATTCTCTTTAATCGTAATGCTAAACCATATGGAATTGCTCTTTTTACATTTTTTTATGACATGATTTGCTGTGGACAAAGATATGTTTGTCACTTGGTTTGGTATAAAGATCTGTTTTTATTCTGCCATTTTTAATTTTAACAAGTTGAGTTCTTAGACAAACTATAAAATTATTATGACGTCATATCATTACCAAGGAACTAAATGTATAACATCTTAATGATTGTGAAAGTTCAATGTCTACCATGTAGTTAAGAAGGATAATAAAGAAACTGAAGAAGGCCAGTGGCTGAAACCATCTTTAAAAAATGGTTTAATTACTACAATATTTTATAACAAGCTTCTTTACAATTGCAAGAGTACATTAAACTTTTTCCGTGAGTTTGTTTTGAAGTTAAGATATGGTCAAACGAGTTTATATAAAGTTACTATCAAATGTATATACATACTTCAACCATTGAATAATTTATTTTTTATGTCAAAGTTCTGATCCCATATAATTAAACTGAACCCCCTCTTACTTCAACTTGAGATGATTGCAAACAAAATATGAATGGATCAGATTGTTGCCTTTTCTATAAACAAGCTTGATAATGAGATATTGTATTCTTTTTTCTATTGTTATTTTTCATTATTTCTTCTTTTTGTTTTTTTTTACTTTGCTGAATGACTTATGACATGAACTTTTGCAATACCTAAAGTATATACAGGATTCAGTACCACAAGTGACTGATTGCAATATATGTTTACTAGTTATGTATTAACAAATGAAAATGAAATCAATATTAGTGCATATAAAGAAAATATTCGGAGATCATACTACAATGTTAAATTCATAAACTTTAAGAATAAGAATATTTTAAGAACAGATAAGGTTTTCATGGATTGTAACTACCTTGAGCTCTGGTCTGGTAGCATGCTCACCTTTAATGAGCCGTCAAACCAAAGACTTGAAGAGATATATTTGCTGTTCTCCATTTAACACACAGCACTCAGGTAGGTTTGAAGTCAAAATTATGTGTCTGGTTATGATGGCATGTTTTCCTGCAGACTGTCTCCTTTTGAACTAGCATGTTAAAAAGTATTTCTGTCTAGTACAAATTAGGTTTCCTATTTATATCGCATTAACATGGCCTCATTCCAATTTGCATGTTATATACATATATATATGCCACTTGACATTAAACACTAATCTATCATCATCATCATCATCATCATCATGAAATGTATCTTAATTTCTGAGCTCTATAAATATCACCATAAAAATTAAGATGTGATATGCTGTTTGTAATAAGATTCCTACAGTACAGGTACAGCCAAACTTCCATAGAATGGCTACAAAGGGACAAAAGTGTCTTGCATTTAAATTGACTACTGATATATTATATCATCTATCACATTTTAAAAAGTAACTAAAGGTTGTTTTTTTTTCAGAATTTTAGGGAATAGAGTTTCAGAACTAGAAAAAAAGATCAAGACCTTAGAAGTTGCTGGATTATGGAATGTACCAAGTGTGTGTTACAACTTAATGAGTATTTACTGTTACAATTGACAAAATGTTACTAGTCCCCTACCGACGAAGTCGAAGGGGACTTTAGGTTTGCACTCTGTCTGTCTGTCTGTCTGTCTTCTGTCTGTCTGTCTGTCTGTTTGTCTGTCTGTCTGTCTGTCTGTCTGCCAATCCGTCAGTCCGGCAAATCAAGTTTTCTAACACTTTTTTTCTTCATGCTTGAAGATATTGATTTGATATTTGGTGTATTCTTTAATCATGACAAGTTACAGATCAAGTTGGAATTTTGTTCCGGTCTGATGATTTTGTGCAGAGTTATGGTCCTTCGACTTAGAAAATTCACTTAAATAATCAGTTTTCCACACTTTTTTTCTTCATGCTTGAAGATATTGATTTGATATTTGGTGTATTGTTTAATCATGTCAAGTTACAGATGAAGGTCAAATTTTGTTCCGGTCTGATGATTTTGTGCAGAGTTATGGTCCTTGGACTTAGAAAATTCACTCAAATAATCAGTTTCTGCACTGTTTTCGTCATGCTTGAAGTTATTGATTTGATAATTGGTATATAGTTTTATCATGCCAAGTTACAGATCAAGTTCGAATTTTGTACCGGTCTGATGATTTTGTGCAGAGTTATGGTCCTTGGACTTATAAAAATTCACTCAAATAATCAGTTTTCGCACTTTTTTTCGTCATGCTTGAAGATATTGCTTTGATAATTGGTATATAGTTTACACCATGACAAGTTATAGATCAGGATAGCATTTTGTTCCAGTACAATGAATTTTTAACTGGTAGGGGACTATGTATTGCCATGCAATACTCTCAGATGGTTGTTTTTCAGTAGTATTTTTGGGCAGATTGATGTCCGATAGGGGTACAGTGATTTCACTGGGTTACCTTCTCATGCAAATTAAAATTCTAACATGATGTTGGTATTTATGAATAGGTTGATTACGATTTTGATAATCTTGCCAACTACAATGCAGCAGCTGTTTTAGAGGTTTTAGAGAATAGCTTTTCATAGGACCTGTACAGGAAAACACATTAACAAAATTTTCTAAAATAATAGTAACTTTACTAACTTTATTGGATATGATTCATGGTGGCCAATTTGAAAATTCCAAAGTCAAACTGCACATCTGATCACATTTACATATGGTGGTTATCCGCAAGTTGAAGATTAAAACCCAATGAAATTGTATAGATGATTTACTTAAGAGTTGACAAAATATGCTACCATCGAGGAAAGCGAAAATGTGAAAAAAAAAATGCTTACGGTTACAGAAATTTGACAGTCATTTGTTTATGTTTACTTTGTATTTGAAAATTAATAATTTCAACCTCTAAAAACGAAAAGGCACTGGGTAAACAAATTATCATAATATAATGAGAACAAACTTTTTTCATGATGAATTTTATAATACTTTTTATCTGCTCTCAGAGTAATTATTTAGTTGCATTTCTTAATCATTTAAAAATATTTTCTATTTATAAATATAAAAAATAGCCATGGTTGCAACAAACTATTATAAATTTTTCTAGAAGATCATCAAATAACTTTTTCAAACCTCTTCCTGTATTTATGCAAGTTTCAGATTTGTAGTTCAGAAGTTTTATGGATCATTTCATTGAGTGCTCCTTAAAACAGGTGCAATATACAAATGAACAAGAATGGATTTAGGCACATTTTACATTTTTTATGTCATTAAAAGAGAGATAAATTGGTTTTATGCCAGTTTGGAATTTCATATACTTACATTTGATCTCTTTAATCATTACGATTGGCACTTTCTCTGCATGCACACTATTGATTATATAAATTCACAAGAAATCTTTCTGGGAAATAGTAATACATGCATAGCAAACAATGACAAAAGCAGGCTAAATGAGTTGTGTGTAAAATGCTGCTATGCGAATGAATTCCTGGTGTACCAACTTATATTTTTTTTTATTACTGTATACCTCATGAACATGTTAATTATCTGTATATGTATGCAGCTAGATAAACTAAGTTAAGGGAAAAATCGATTGATATGTAGCATTTATACATATTTAAGAAATACTTTTATTATTAAACATACTAAATCTAAGCATTAAATCCAAAATAAAAAGTAACATAACATTACATATCTTTCTACACTGGATGACTAAAAAAATAATACATTATTGGCTTTCTTGGGGCTACTCATTCACTTAAAAGAAAATTTAACTTTACAAATTTTTAAAACTGTCAAAATACGAGTCAAATGAAAATTCCTTAAACAATTAGTAAAAACTCTGTGATTACTTGTACAAAAAAGTTATACATACATGTAACTTACCTTACAATGATGGGAAGATCCATGCAGCTAACTTATACAGTACTTGCAACCTTAGGCGTTACTGTTTGACGTGAACTTGACTGATCGGTGAATGATCGGTGACGGATGTTTGACTGATCGATGACCGATGACCCATAGAATCCGTCAGATACGTCAAATAAGCTATGTGAGAGTTACTGTGACAACGGTCAGCGACCGATCTGTAAAGTAATGTTATGCACGTATCGGACATATACGTATAATTATAATTAAAATTCTAATGTAAAACGAACTACACAGTATATACATTCGATAAACGCGGACCTCTACGAAGACACCTTTACTCCATAATTTATAAACAACTTGGTCGCAATAACACATAAAAAAAATATATATAAATTACTTTCCCTGCATTATATGTATTACTTCATATTCTCTTATTTTTCTGCCAAATAAATTACATAAGTGCAGAATAATGTCAAGCTTAGAATTTTTCTGTACCACTAAAGAGCGATAAAATGTTATCATTTAAAATACGTACTCTATTTAGCAAGTATGCATTATAATGTCACTAGATGATGAAAATAAAAGTAGTATAACAGTAAAGATACGTAAAGCTTTGTTTGGATTGATTTAGGAGTGTTGTTTTAACTATTGTTTCAAATTACAAATATTTTTCTTTTTATAAAAAATATTGCAATGTTATTTGTAATTAATTATTTTAAAGGCCTCAAGATAAGTTTATTTTATATAATATTAGTATAATAAGGATTTAAATACTTAAACTTTTGTTTGTGTTAAATAAGAAGGCAATAATTTCTTTAATTCAATAGAACTTATAAACCGCCATATGATTTCAGTACTTTCGTACAAGAGGATTGGTTGTATTTCATAAAATATGCTGATTGTTAAGGAAAAGATACTAAATTTTTGTTCGTGTTGCTTAAAAAAGCAAATATTTCTTCTCTTATATCAGAAATAATGCAACATCAATTGCAATCAGTTATTATAAATGCCTTTAGATAAGTAATTTTATATAAAATGTGAATAATTGAAGGATAAATATGCATATAATTTTGTTTTTGTTGAATAAGAATGCAATCATTTCTTTATTTTAATGTAAATTATTGACTGTCATTGGATTTTTGTACTTTTTAAAGTTTAGGATTGGTTGTTTTTCATAAAAGTAAAAGAATATCAGAGAAAATATACTAAAATCATGTTGTTCGCATTGTTTAAAATTACCAATTTTTATTATTCTGATAAAAAATAGTGCAATGTTATTTGTAACTAGTTATTTCAAAGGCCTCAAGATAAAATTTTTTATAAGAATTTTTATGATGTAAGGAGAATAATACTTGAATTTCAGGGAAAAGATACTAATTTTTTGTTCGCGTTGCTTAAAAATGCAAATAATTCTTCTTTTATATCAGAAATAATGCAACTTCAATTGCAATCAGTCATTATAGATGCATTTAGATGAGTAATTTTGTATAAGATGTGAATAATTTAAGAATAAATATGCATTAACTTTTGTTTTTGGTGAATAAGAATGCAATCATTTCTTTTTTTTAATGGAAATTATTGACCCCCATTGGATTTTTGTACTTTTATAGTTTAGGATTGGTTATTTTTCATAAAATTAAAAGAATATAAGAGAAAATGTACTAGATTGTTCGCATTATTTAAAATTACCAATTTTTCTTCTTTTGATAAAAAATAATGCAATGTTATTTGTAACTAATTACTTCAAAGGCCTCAAGATAAGATTTTTTTAATAAGAGTTTTAATTATGCAAGGAGAAAAATATTTTAAGTTTTGTTTGTGTTGAATACAAATGTAATAATTTCTTTATTTTGATAGAAATTATGAACCACCATCAGATTTTATTATTTTTTGTACATCAGGGTTGGTACTATTTCATAAAATATGCTGAATTTCAGGGAAAAGATACTAAATTTTTATTCGTGTTGCTTAAAATGCAAATATTTCTTCTTTTACATCAGAAATAATCCAATGTCAATTGCAATCAGACATTATAAATGCATTTAGATCAGTACTTTTGTATAAGATGTGAATAATTTAATGATAAAAATGCATTAACTTTTGTTTTTGGTGAATAAGAATGCAATCATTTCTTTTTCTTAATGTAAATTATTGACCAACATTAGATTTTTGTACTTTTATAGTTTAGGATTGGTTATTTTTCATAAATTAAAAGAATATCAGAAAAATTATACTAAAATGTTGTTTGCATTGTTTAAAATTACTAAATTTTTCATTTTTTGATGAAAAATAATGCAATGTTATTTGTAACTAGTTATTTCAAAGGCCTCCAGATAAGATTTTTTATGAGAATTTTAAATATATAAGGCTTAAACTTTTGCTTGTGTTGAATATGAATGCAATAATTTCTTTATTTTGATAGAAATTATGAACCGCCATTTGATTTCAGTATTTTTTGTACATCGGGATTGGTTGTTTTTCATAAAATATGCTGAATATTAAGGAAAAGATACTAAATTTTTGTTCATGTTGCTTAAGAATGCAAATATTTCTTCTTTTATATCAGAAATGATTCAACGTTAATTGCAATCAGTAATTAAAAATGCCTTTAGATAAGTTATTTTGTATGAAGTGTGAATAATTTAAGGATAAATATGCATGGACTTTTGTTTTTATTTCATTCTAATTGA